AGCCCCCCCCCCCCCTGCCCCGCAGTGCCTGAAGATTCCTCTGAGGACGCTTTACAGGGATAAGGAAGCGTTGTCCCTTTATGTTCCAGTTAAATCTATTGCTGGTATTTTATGCATGATTGTTTAACTGCCCCCCCCCCCCCCCTACTTTCATATTCATCTTCAATTGTGTATTGTGTAGCATCTTCAATTGTGTATTGTTTCAAATGTTTCAAGCTTTACAATTTCATTTTTCTTTACCAGTAACCATTGATGCTGCAGAAGCCATTAAGAAATACAATGTTGGTATCAAATGTGCCACTATCACACCGGACGAGAAAAGAGTCACAGGTGATCTATCTTCTGCTTGCAAAGTTTCTCTGTGTTCATAGTACTAATGTTTGCAGGAAGAAATCTAAAAATTTCCTCTCTCAAGCTGCTTAATTCTGACATGATATTTTGAAACATTCCAATAGTTTTTGCAGGCTGGTTATTTCAGTTAACACCAATAAGCTAGTTATTGCTTGTGCTTTTCTAAACATCAGATTGATGCAGTTCAATGGTGGATTTAAGGAGGGGGGGCAACTAGGGGCAGTTGCCCCTCCCTCAATGAGTTGAAGCAAGTCTGGCACCCCTTTTTGGAAATTGTGCGCCCCTTTTGAAGAATGAGAATGAGATGAAAAAGTTTCTGAGACCGATAGGTTAATTTGCTTCAAGGATTACCTCAAAGTTATGTTGTTTATTCCGAAATGGACCTAAAATGTTGACTACAGCGCACTCTTGTCATCAATTTTTTTAAAATTTTCCAGTGCCCCCACCACCAACTGCCCCTCCTTCAAGTGTGCTATGGATCCGCCCCTAATGCAGTTTACTGGCTTTCTTCTTTGTGCATCAATTTAGTTTGGGGAAGTTGATTAAAATGAGTACACAAATCTGGATTAGAGTGGGTGGGATTCTTACGTTTTTTCTTCTGAAGTGGCACAGGATTCATTTGAAAGCCACTGCTTAAGTTGCTGGTAAAATATAACCAAAATTCATTTCTTCATGCTACTTTTAGAATTTAATTTGAAGAAGATGTGGAAATCTCCAAATGGAACTATCAGAAACATTTTAGGAGGGACTGTTTTTAGAGAGGCCATTATTTGTCAAAATATTCCAAAGCTTGTTCCAGGTATAGATAGTTTATTCAAATTTATTTAGTAGCTGGTAAAGCAGCTAGATTTTAAAAGTTGACTTTATTTACTGACAGTCAAAGATAACTGTGAAGTTTTAGAGCCTGCATCAGTAAACTGAAAATGCCTTTGTTCTTTCCTATGGTACTAGTTGTTGTTGAACTCCTCAAAATTAATTGATGATTGCACTAAATTTTCATCCTTTTTTTGATTAAGCGTGTCTATGAAATTTATTACTCATAGCCGTGAATATAATTATTTTGTCACATTGTTGAAAATGTCTGAACATAAGCATTTCGTGTTACAAAATAAGTGAATGCTCCCTTAATCATATCGATTTGTTATTTTTTTCTTGCATCGTAGAATGGATAGATAGAAGATTTGTACTCAGTGTGTGAGTGGTCTGTACAACTGTTACTTAATAAATCACTCATTTGCAGTTTCTTAAAAGTTCATGTCATGTTTCTTTTATGTAGGATGGACAAAGCCAATCATAGTTGGACGCCATGCTTTCGCAGACCAGGTGATTTTCATTTAATCTTATTCAATGCATTTTCTCAAAAACCAGTACCCTTTAGTAAAATCAGTTAAACAAAATGGTTAAAATTTACTGGATAAAGCGATAGGGAAACTTATAGCAGTGGCGGAGACCTGGGGGGCGTTTGACCCTAATATTTAAGAAAACAATCGTCTTTTGTTCTAAAACAATGAGGAAATGTGACGCCTCGTATCAAAACAAGAGGCTTGCCCCCCCCCCAATATTTGACCAAATGCCCGCCCCTGATTTATAGATACATTGCCTGAAGTGCGATGCAAAGTTACATGTATCTACTCAAACTAAATCATAATAAATCAGTTTTTCAGTCAAGAATATTCCACACAGGGCAACCTAGCTCTCCTGGATGCAATGTGAAGTCTGTTTAAATTTAAATACTCTGTATTTTATTTTTATGCAAACGCATTTTAAGTTTAAAATTTTGAGCCTTTGTGGAAACTGTCTCGGCAGTAGTTAAAATACTCAGGTACAAATACAAATTACAAAAGTACAAATAAATTTTATGAGGAGATTGAAATACTGGCAGTTATGCAAGCTGATATGGACCACACATCGTCAAACAAGAATGTGAAATAAGGTTCTGGTTTCTTGGGATCAAAAATAATGATTATTATCCCAAACATTAAAATTTTTATATAATGCTGCATTATATATCCATTACACTTTCTACTTAGTTTCGTCTTCATACTTCTTGAACTGTAAAAGGTTCGCTCGCTCAAGTTTCATGCCTAATGAAGTTCCTAAATAGAATCGTTACGGTTTTCTTGTTTGACAGTGTTAAAGGAGAACTGACACGCAAAAATGACTTTGGCTTATTCGATGCAAAATTTGTCGCTGACTTCAAATCTGGAAAAAGTTTTCTTCTTAGATTCGCCGTTTTTCTGATATTTGCACTTTTATCCGTCAAATACGTCACAGCCAGGACTCGGGAATTTCCCGAGGCGGAAACAAGATTATCGCCAGGAGTTGTTAAATTCTCGGTTGACGTCACAAGTGACATGTTAACAATGCCGTTGTAAAGGCTTTCACCGCAACGGTGAAAGTAGAAATGAAGTTTCGTGTTTTATTGAAAATAGTCCGCGGTGAAAAGACAAAAAATTGTCAGGCATTTTATTTATAAGTATATAGAAGCTAGAAAATCCTAGCTACCTGTCTGCTAAGACGCTAATATCCACATAAAATCGAACCAGCATGCTTTGAAACATTGAAAGAACCTCTGAGCTTGAGAAAAAAGGAGTCGATTTTGTTTGAAAACTGATACCGTTTCTTCAAAGTTTTTATTTTTATAATTATAAATAAAATCGAGGCATGGGGGTGGGGGGGTTTGTGGTTGAAGCAATAGCCAAAACACAAACGAAATCTAGTGGAGACAGCGGTAAAAGCGATCCTGCAACTTGCTTTGGGTGCAGAAATATGAATTCAAGAAAAATCTTGGTTGATGGGAGCTGCGAGTGTGACTAAATAATAATTTCACTGAACTTGATTATTGTATTTTAACAGAGGTTGAGATACTAGGGAATAACCTAGTCTTGCAAAAAGACCATCCCCCACCCAAGTCAAAATTGCTTGCAAAAGAAGATAATGCGCCAGTTGATATTCCTATGACAGCTAAACAGCATTTTCTTCGACTAAGAAATCAAGTTCTTTGACTAAGAGCTAAGAGCCTATTTCGTAAATCCAGATTTTTCGACTGCCAGGTAACTTATCAGTTCCCGAAACCCTTCACGCCCGGTGAAAATGGCATATAATCCGCACAAGTCGACTTTTAACCCGCCTTTACTATTTAATATCACGATACAGTTAACGTGTTTGAAACATTGAAAAACAATCATAGAATGTTACATTAACAATGAATAACTTGAAGTTCCGTTTAGGGCATCATAGGCATTTCAGCGAATTAGGCCATACAGACAAAGCAGTCTGGACAAAGACGCCTCAATCTGAAATGAAATTCTAGTTTTACGATACCTGATCTCATTTAGATTGTAGCAATAGCATTGTTTTTAATAGAAATTCCATATCAGTTTGTACTTCCAGTCTGTTCTTTGTTCATACATCGTCACTGTTGAGCCATGGGACGACTGTCTGCCCAAGCGGCAGCGCTGGTTGGTAGCAAAAACTCAGACGGCTGAAACTCTCCATTTGTTTCGAAATCAGTGTAATAAAACTCCGATTCAGAGTCCCAAACCATTGAAAAAGTCAATTATGTGTTAAAAATGCAAAATTAGCACCTCTCACATGCACAAAATAAACATTTGTCCGCAGCATTTTGTTAAAGGTTTCTATAGAGAAACACAATACGTGCTGAGAACATGTCACTTGTGACGTCAAAGATGATCGCCCACTCGTGACGATTTTCGCATTGAGTCTCAAGTTGTCGGAACAATTGTCGTTTCTCAACTTAAAACGCCTGTATTTCAAAAACGGTAACTATGATTTAAAAATTTTTTTCGATCCCGGAATTTGCTTGTCACAAACTACCGATTTAGCCAAACTTATTTTTGCGTGTCAGTTCTCCTTTAAGCATAAAATTTGGGGTCACAATTTAAAATCGTCTTGTTCTACAAGTTGGGGGATCTCATCTCTTTGTATAAGACTCTTGCATTATCTATGATTCTCAGATATTTATGAACCAATAATTTATATACGATATAATAGAGTATACTGATGTTAAAAGTAAAACATTTTTCTTGACAGTACAAAGCAACGGACTTTGTAGTACCAGGTGCAGGGACACTTGAGATAAAATTCACACCCTCTGATTCAAGCCAGGAGACGTTGTCCTATAAAGTTTATGATTTCATGGGCGGTGGAGTTGCTATGGGAATGTACAATACTGATGAAGTAAGGAGCTTTTACAGCATTTGCTGTATTTCAATGCATTTGGTTTCATTTTGTTTAAACGATATTTTAGTAGCAGAGACTGAATTTCACCATCTTTAACAGAGTATTATCTAAGGAAATGGGATTATTCAATTCAAAATATTTTCCTCAAATTATTCTTCTAAGTAACTCTGATATTTTCGATCCTTTTTTGATATGATGTTTTCTGCAACAATGAATTCATATATTTACTGCCTATAAAATTATTATTTTGTCCATGTTGGAATTCTTTAGACCCCCAATTTGCACTGCCTTCAAATGTTCAAAAGAACTCTTTATTCCTCAAGCATGGCAGCCATTTCTATGCAGAGTGATTCTAGAACTGCTAGATGGAACAACAACCGGGCTCTGCCAAAACTCCGCTACTATATGTCACTATTTTTGTTGTTGACACAATTTTGGTTCTTTAGTAAATGTTGTCTGATGGCTGAATCGCATGTCTTATCCCCCATAAGATAGTGGGCTTTTTGCAACCCCCTTAGAGGTTATAAAGGAACCTATGCCTAGCTTTAGGTATTGAGCCTATGATTCGTTGGCTGTGGAGTGGTAAAATTCATCGTAGAATAACATCTATCAAGAAAGCTATTTTTATATATATGTTATATGTAAACTTTGGAATGCTCTACCCCCTTCCTGTTTCGAATCTTACAACATGTCTGTATTAAAAAAACATATAAGCATGATCTTTCCTCTCTCTCTTCCTTATTTCTCCTCCCTTTCATTTGTTAGGGCTATAGGCACTTAGGCCTTTCCCAAACATAAACATTACCAATTAAAAAAAGAAAAAAAGGAGGCTAAAATGCTTTAGCGAAATATGCTACAGATTGTCTTACAGAATCCACGATCACATCAAAGGGTGGCTCATGAGCTCATAATTATTTAAATTGTTATCGCTTGAACCGTTTAGGCTGTTGTCGGGACAAAGTAATGACTGGATTATGTAAAAAGCAGAGCTTTTATCAACCGAAGTAGTTAGCCACTTAACCTTGTGTATGTTGACTAAATTTAAGCCCTTAAGCAGGTCAATTTTTTGAATTATTCAAATTGAAGAGTAAATTTTTAGAATTTACCTATATGTATATATATGCTATTTCATTCATAACCTTGTAATATTTTTTCTAGTCTATTAGAAATTTCGCACACAGCTCGTTTCAATGTGCTTTGGAGAAAGGTTACCCACTTTATTTAAGGTAAGTTTGAAAGCAATTCTATGCTCTATTTTACATCTTTGAGTTCCGAAAGCTTTACAGGATAAGTCTCATAGTTCCTTAGCTTACTTTTCCACGTGATTTTACTTGTTTGTAGAAAATTCTGCAATATTAGAATCAAAGCACCAAAAATGATAAGTGCCATTCAAATGTTTGTATGTGTAAAGATTATACCCTTGGGTGAGAAAGGTTTTTTACCAACTTGAAAGAAAATGCAATCTCTGAGAATGTTCGTTATAAGCTTATGCAATCTCAAAATTTCATTTCACACTTTGTTTCTCCCACAGCACGAAAAATACTATATTAAAGAAGTATGATGGAAGATTTAAAGATCTATTCCAAGAGATTTATGAAGCGTAAGTTTCCTCAAAGATCCTCTCTGGTGTTGTAGAGATGCATAGCGATATCTGTTTTACTTTTGTGAAATCATTGTTAGAAAGAAATAATAGCATTTTTGAAAAAAATATTGCATGCAGTTAACAGAATAAGGCAAATATGAGAAAAATATCAATTCTTTGATGTAAAATATTTTCATAATTTAAGAACTGTGGTGGCTATTGTCTTAACTATGGACTTATAAGTAACTTTATTCAATTCAATTTATTTTAATTCAATTCAATTTTATTCGTATACTACAGAAGAAGAAAAATACGACATTAATACCGTAATATATACGACCCAAGAAGTATGTACTTGGGCCTTTACCAAAGGTATAGTTAAAATCATAACGGTAATTACAATAATAGAAGCAAGGCTGGTTAAATATTTTATAAATTGGAACAAGATAATATAGCATGTCGATTACGTTTCGTTTTAAAGACAGTTTGACTCACTTTCTGGATTGATTTTGCATTCTTCTTCTGTGTAGTACGTACAAGTCTCAGTTTGAAGCCAAAGAGATCTGGTATGAACATCGTTTGATCGATGACATGGTTGCTTATGCTTTAAAGACTGAAGGTGGATTTGTCTGGGCTTGCAAAAACTACGATGGTGATGTACAGAGTGACTCAATAGCCCAAGGTATTTCATTTTTCATCTCAGTAAATTGTGGATTTGCTGGTATAATGGTAATAATGCATTATTTATACAGGGTGATGCAGTCAGCTCCAAAGCATTAGCAGCTATCATAAGAAAAACTTTTCGTTTATAAAAAAATATTATTAGGTGTATGTAAAAATTTACAATTAGGGGAAAGTTTTTTATAAGGATATATTGATATAAACGTCACTTAAAAGGTTATAAATCAACTGCTAAAAGTTTCTTTAAAGTCATTTTTTGAAGGGGAGGTAATATTTTTCAGCCTTCATTGTTGTCATTAAAGCTCAGGCTCTATCCCCTGTGGGTACTCGCATTGTACTGTACACAAAGGAGGTGCATGTGTGCTTGTATGCAACACCATTATAATGCAGTAACTAATCCGGGACCTCGAATTAGCCCCCTGAGGGGTTATTTATTTTTTATATATTTTTTATATATCCAGGATTTACGGTATCATATTGATTTTTTGCGGACTGATAATTTGTAGTACCCGAAATATTTCAAAGAGACACTGAACCAACAATTTGAGTGAATTTTAAATGGCAACTATTCAAAATTAGGACAAGACAACATTTCAGCAGTTGGTCGATTCAATCTACAGTAGGTATGGCCCTTAAGGGCCAAACTTTTAGCAAGAAAACGCTGAAGATATAGTTCAGGAAATGGATTTTCAGCTCCATCTGCTTTTTACTGCAAAACCTAATTATATTAAACCCTTATTTAATATATATGTCGAAGAGAAATCAATTTTCGATTGTCTGCTAATCGTATTAATATTAAATCTGTATTCAAATGTTTTTTTAGAGAAATTCCTAATATAAATAGGTATTTTTGTTATGAATCTCGACTGTAGCTTTGTCTAAAATTTTGTAAACTTTTGATTCAACATCCAATAATGATTAGAAAATTGTTAAAAAGTTTGAGAATGATCCTTCTCTCTCGACAAAATAAGCACATGTGGACTGCATTTGCACTTTGCAGCTGTCAAAATATTTATGCTGCTGTTCATTCGATAAATTAAAAGACAAAAGGTCCTTGATTAGCATTTCTACCACTAGTTGTTTCTTCAAAAGAACTTCTTACTTAAAATCATAAGTTTGAGTCTGCCTATATTTTTTCTCCGTGTGTAAAGCCTTTTTGGTCCATTTCGAGCTAATATTTAGTTTAACAAGAAGCGTCATTTTAAATCAACCCTTGAGTGGTCAAAGCATTAAAAATGTGTACTCTTACTAAACACTGTTTTACCAGTAACGTTGCTTCACTACCGACTTAAAGATATCCTTTATCTTTGACTCTTAGTGCTTAATTTTACCGATGATGACATTTAAGAATTCAAAATATATTTGAGTCAAGCAAGTCCACTAACCTTTTTAAAGTTCCAAAATATCTACAAATACACATCAATAGGACACACTTGCTCAGTTTTGCTGTTTATCGAGCATCGCGACCGTATGCCTTCAGTACTCAGCTCGTTGCTGTAAATGTGTCTTTGAGGGTTTTACCATACAGAGTTTCTGTCGTCTTGAATCCATTGATTTGGGCTGTTATCAAGAGTTTCATAGTTGAAGTTTCATAGTTCTGATAAAACTCTGAGAATGAACCCTAAATTTAATTCAACCATTTATGATTTATATTTTGGTATTAGGCATTAGGATCCTATATGGACTGTTTGCTGTTGTGATGTGGTAGGTGGATTGCCTGTCACTAGATTGGGCTGACACCAGCAAGGGAAAGCCCCACTCCGACCAAAGATTGATTTCGAGCTTAGAAAGGTCTAATTTACGAACGGAAAAATGTTTAAGATTGTTTTTCTTTCTTTAAATTATGAGTTTTCTTTTCTCTAGGCTATGGCTCACTTGGAATGATGACGAGTGTTCTGAGGTGCCCGGATGGGAAAACAATTGAAGCCGAGGCTGCACATGGTACAGTAACGAGGCACTACAGAGTCCACCAGAAAGGTGGAGAAACGTCAACCAATCCTATTGGTAAGGTATCATTGTAAGATCATTGTAAATGTGATTCGGTATTTATAACGTTATCTTCAAGGTCCGGTAAAAAGAATTACGCAACCATTCCTACGCCCTTTTTCTTTAAAGGCGTTTGTCTCTAATGAGCCTCTTTTCTTGTAAATATTTCTGTAAAAAGGTCCGGTAAAAAGAAGGGGCTTTGAACACCAAATAAGTGAGCCTTGCGTTGGTATTTTTGCCAGGATAAAGACACTTCTACATGCTTCTTCTAAGAAATGCTAACAGTAATGGCAGAATATCAGAAACGTCCCGACTGAAGCGAAGACATTTTTCAAAGAGACCTGCTTCACATTACGTCATGCCAGCTCTGTGTGAATTCTCCTTCTGCAAATGGAATGACTAGGATTACTGTTTTGTTAAAAAAAGTTCCACAACGATAGCAGGAAATTTAACAAGAAAAGAGGCTTATTAGAGACAAACGCCTTAAAAAAAGGGCGTAGGAATGGTTGCGTGACACAAATTTGCGGCCATTCAGGGCTGATATACACAATGTGATATAGCAATTAAAAGCATCTTTAGCACAGAATTTGAACACAGAAAGTCTGCTGTGTAACTCGGACTTCAAAAAAGGGGTGTATAATGGAAGGGGGCCAACGTATTCAGTTTATAGCTATCAGGTTCGCAGTTGCAGGTTTATAACATCACTGCTTTGAACTGTATCAAATTTTTTGGGAGTTTCTTAAACTGAACTATACTGAACTTTTACCCATTGTTAATCATACTGAACTTTTAGCTGCTTTATTGTCAAATCTTAGGTGAAGTTTGTCATTCAAAAGTTTGCCATACTTCTGCATGATGATAGTCCAAATTTTCTTCTGATATTTCAGCCTCCATATTTGCTTGGACGCAAGGGTTAGCTCACAGAGGAACACTTGATGGTAAGAGAAAAACAATACAACCTCGCGGAACCTTCTAAGCATAAATTATGACTAGCTGTAAAGATTTTACAATGCCTATAGCGAAGTTAGGTAGTCGTAAATGACCTTGCTATATCTCTAGGTTTTTTTATATATCCAGATAAAATATTACAATACAATCTACATTCTTTCTAATTACTCTACGATACTACAGGTACGATACAATGGGGAGCAAAGGACAATGACAACCCCATTGCCATTACATGCAACTAGACTAACAACAACGAATATTACACGTATACATGAATAAGAGTTGATTAGACAAAAAAAGAAAAAAGAAAAGTATAGAAAATTACAGGTACAAGTTGATACGTTAGTAATAACAAGTATAGTAATAACTGAAAGTAACAAATAACAAATATATATAAGTCTTGGATACCTTAGCAATATGGCAAGTGGGAGAATGGCTTTGAAAAAAAGCAAACATTTGAGTAAACTAAAGCTTTTCGTCTGACACTCTTCAGAGTTTAGAAGGTCAGAGAATAGATCAAAAACTCTACGCTAGGAAATCAATATACCCAGGTGAATCGCTGTCCTTCCTTATGTGGTCTAAACATTTAACGGTGTGATGACGCCAATACCCAGATATGGATCGAAATAGGCCAATCAGAAATGGGAGCAAAGACTTTTGAGGTCCCTCAATCAGTGCCGCTTGCCTATTGAGATTGTTTCCAATGGACTCCTAAGGTGAAAACGAATTCTTTTTGTCTACACAATAGCGGTTTTTTCGTGCTTATGTAGAAAGGGGGAGAATATAAATAAATATGTTTACTTGTTAATGGCCGTTTTGGTTCATGGCTTATTGTGAAAATGTAATATTTTTTATATCAAATTTCACAAGTTTGAGGTATGGCTTTTATAGATTATATGCATAGATTAACAGAAAACAGTAGAATATCGATAAAATATGTTTATTAGTTAGACAATTTTTGATTCATGAAAAGTAGAAATGTAACTTTCCTTGTTTAAATGGAAGATATTTCAAATGTATTAGAATTAACGTTTCTAACGTAGCCAAGAAAGACAGATTTAATGTTAATTTAGATGTATTTTCCTTATAGTTTATTTTGTCAGAGTTTTACACTGATCACAGTTTTCTATGCTACACTGACACTGCACTGTAGCTGCACTGTTTTCTATGCTACACCGATCACAGTTTTCTATGCTACACTGACACAAATGATCGTCACAGCTCTCTATGCTACACTGACACTGCACTAAACGATTGTCACAGCTGCCTATGCTACACTGACACTGCACTAAACGATCGATTTCTTGCTCCCAGAGTTGTACATAATGTTTTCAAAGTTTGAAAGATTAAGGATTCTCAAAACCTGTCTTTTATAATTTTTTGTTACTTGTAGCACCAGTAATATTTACCCTATTCTTAAAGGCAACCAAAAGCTGGTCGACTTCGCCAATAAGCTAGAGAAAGTTTGTATTGATACGATACAGTCTGGCCATATGACAAAGGACCTTGCAGCCTGCATTAAAGGATTGGCAAAGTAAGTTTTAACGTTCTCTGATCTCTATTTAAGATGATTTTGTACGCTGGGGCTTCTTAAAAGCAAGTAAAACTGTATTTGTGATAAAGATGGGCTCAAATACATGTCTTTAAACTTCGATCTAAGTGAAAAACGTCAAATGAAACTCTTACCAAGATTCTTGCTTCTAAGGAAGCTGTGAGAATGATTTGAAAGAGCTCGTAGAAGTAACTAAGCAGTTTGATAGACTACTACCGAGTTCAGGTTAAGTGAGGTCATGTCCTTTTGCGATGTTCCCATGAAGGAGCTAAGTAAATTGCACTTCTTCTACACCGTGGAAATTCAAGTATCAATTTTAATTTGATGCGATGAGCATTTAGGAAGCTGAAGCACCCCGTGCTACTTTTGTGAAACGCAGGCAAGGCTGTAATGATAGAAGGAATATTCTGTAACACAACCAAAGTCTGTCCTTGAGTTATTTTACAAATTCAACGAGGCAGCTTTCTGGCAAGCCAGAAAGCTTGTGTTTCTGAGAGAAGATAAAAGAAGATTTGGCCTCAACCTCAATTAAGGCCTTCTGTGTTTTTACAAATATTGGCTCTCTTTGTGGTTTTTCAGGCATGGGTCTATTTTTGGATTTTGTAATTCAAGGTCATATTTGTTCGGTATCTTCAAAAGAAGAAGTGTTGGTTTGACATCTCATTGCGTCTGAAATGGCCATCAACAATTTAATTCTCCTTATTGATGTACTATGTACTATGTTTATCGAACTTTTAATTACTACTGGAAAATTCTGCAACAGAGTGCATATCAATATTCCAAATATGAAGATTTTCAGTTCTGTCCCTGGTACATATCTCTGGTTTTTTACTTTTGGTCTTAACTAACAGGGCGGAGGGCTGGAGGACCGAGTTGACTGAAAACAGCAAAACGATCTTTGAAATTTCTATTTCCAGTAAAGAGGAATCTTTCCCAGCCGATACCTCAGCTGGAGTTCTAAACATGTTAATTCTCCAGGAAAATAGTTGTTCTTGAAACAAGTTGTTCTTGAAAGATTCAAAGCCCACACTCTTTATGTAATGCGACATTGTCAAATTCTTCACGTTCAGTGCCACATTCAGTGCCACGTTCTTCTAGATGCAATTGCCCTAACCAAATGTTATGCCTTTATCCATTCGTAAGTTTGAAAAGTATGACTTTTTATTTTAGCGTTAAAAGAGAAGATTATTTGTCAACAGTGGAATTCCTGGATAAACTTGCAGAGAATCTTGCAAAACAAGTTAAGCAAATCAACAAACTATGAAATAAGTTCCATTTTTAAAGGTTATGAATATATATGCGTAAAAGACGGTTTTGTGTATTCTAGGTTATTAGTTTTAATTTACGATATTATGATACAGTAAAACCCCGCAAACAAGAACATAGGAAAATAAGAACCTACAGACTGATTTTGTGGAAAATAACACCCAAAGATAAGAACCAAAAACAGACTGATTTCTTTCCATGTTCTTATGAGATTGTACATCATATTAAATAAATCGTGAAATTCTCAAAGTCAGAAAGTATAGTTTTCAAGTCGTCATTGTGGTTTGATGAATTGATATTCAGAGCCATGTCATTTTTTTTCATTTTTTCATATTGTGATTGAAATTGGTTTCTCCCCAACAAAATACCATATCCTCTACAATTTGAAATTCAGTCAGGCCATTCTCAAATCTAGTTACTTTTATCTTGTGCATCATAGTTGTTTGTGTCCTTGCGATAGAACCACACCCTGAAAATATCATGAGTACCACATTTATAAGAACCTAGTCAGTCTGTTCTTTAGAAAAGTAGGTTCTTGTTTGCGGGGTTTTACTGTATTGCCTTTTTAAATCTTGTCAGACATTTATTTCCCAAGCTTTTTGTTACAAGAATATTTAATCAAAATCTAAAGTTAACTATTTAATGGCGATTTTAATTTTTAATATGGGAGTTAAACTGATTTAGTGTGATGATAACTACGCATCGAAATCGATTGTCTGAGAATTTCTCTTTGACTTTTTCCTCTTCTGTAGAGATTCAAATACCCCTTTGTGAAGATCCAGTGAAGTTTTGGAGACCAGTTAGGAATGGGTCATTTTACCGGTATTTTCCTTACAAAAATGAAATTACTGGTAAGCATTTATTCTTAAATGAAAACGTATAGAGAATGAAGAGGTATAGACTTTAACAAAATTTATGATGAAACTATTTATAAAAATGTTTAAACTAACTGATTAATCTGTCAATTGAATTCGAATAATTTTTTAGTCTTTATAATTCTTTTTTTAAATTATTTACGCCTTAGAATTTTTGATATTTTTTGCAACATGGAAAATTTTGATCTCAATTATTCTCATAACAAACAACAAACTCCGAACATAATAGTCTAGGTCTAGGTCTCGGTAACGTGTTTTCGAGAAAATGGATCGCCATGGAGAAGATGAAAGACAAAACAAACCAAGCTTCTCGATATTGAACAAATTGTGAAGAGATTTCAAAGATTATGATTATTGTTACTGTTATGTTCTAATTTTTAATATTTTAATGCATTAATATATAAGCTTTTAATGTCTACTGGTAGTGACTGTAATCTAAATTTTTCAATACGAAATCGCTCAATTGTGGTTTTATCACTACACAAAATTTGAGTTTATCATTGCACAATTACGACTTATCACTGCACAAATTGGTTAGCATTGCACGTTAAAATAAAACCTTGGTTTATGGAACACCTTACAAACAAATTGAAAGTTTATTCTCGTTCTACGAGTCATGTTTATTAGAATATATCTTCCGCGGCTTATTTGCGATGAAATACGAAACTGTGCTATACAGTTCTCACAACAATTATGAACTGTTAGATTTAAACCTTTCTGTGCATTCAGAGACCTTCATTGAACTTTCGTCCTATATGTCAAATATTTACAAGCTCTTTATTGAGTATTTTGCCATTTAGATTTTGCGGAGAAATTCGAGCTTCATTAATGAAGCCAAGGCAATGGGAAGGAATTATCTTTCATCAAAAAATACCTTCCCTAGTAGGCGAAACATTTGGGGTGAGAAATTGGAGTACTTGCGTTTTATCAATGTAGATTTTCAACTCTATCGCGTAATCCAAAACAAAATTATTTTGCGGTTATTTTCAGGTCAAGGAGTGAAGTAACGTATATTGACTGGACTATTAGCACAAGTGCCCCAACTTATGTGGCAATCCTTGATATTTAAATTCAGCAAAAATACTGTCTGTAGTTCGTCCTCATGTAACGTCGATTTATATTTGCTGTTACGGCCAGAAACTGAAATCAAGACCGGGAATATGCTTTTCAGCGGTGTTACAGAGCCTCTACTAAATTGCGTCCGCAACCAATGTTTATGGCTGGTCATCATAAATCACGGTTATTTAATGTATTCTTTTTTTGCTGATTATACCAGGAAATCTGGTGACTGGAAAAAGGCTGGCATTTTCGATGTCCTTTTAAAGCAAACTCACCTTTCTTAAACGCTGTTTGCTTCTCATTTTTTATCTGTAATTAACTAGTGAGAAGAAACTATTTGCATCAATCACGTTATGTTTTTGTGATACAGTGGAATCCCGATATAATGTAATCTTCATGGAACCAGAAAATAGTTTGTAAATAGCTTTGAAAAAAGCAAACATTCAGTAAACTAAAGCTTTTCGTCTGACACTCTTCAGAGTTTAAAACGTCAGAACATAGATCGAAAACTCTACGCTAAGAAATATATATACCCAGTTGTGGATCGAAATAGGCCAATCAGAAACACGAGCACATGACTGTAAAGGTTGACCAATCAGTGCCGCTTGCCTATTAGAATGTTACCAATGGAGTCCTAAGGTGAAAACGAACTCCTTTTGTCTACACAGTAGCGGTTTTTTCGTGCTTATGTAGATAGATTCTAAAACTGCTAGGTGGAACGACGATCGGGCTTTACCAATAATCCGAAACATGTCGCCATTATAGTTTTTTGCACAATCTGGGTTTTCTAGCAAATGCTGCCCGATAGCAGAATCGCAGGTTTTATTAGTAATTTTGGATTTGCAAGACCGAGGTCCCCAAACGTAGGACGCACCACCCAAAGATTGGAGGATAGGATAAAACAACACGTTCCATTAATATTAGAAACAAAACACATCCCCAAAGAGAACAGCCACCTCGGTCTTGCAAATCCAAAATTACTAATAAAACCTGCGATTCTGCTATCGGGCAGCATTTGCTAGAAAACCCAGATTGTGCAAAAAACTATAATGGCGACATGTTTCGGATTATTGGTAAAGCCCGATCGTCGTTCCACCTAGCAGTTTTAAAATCTATCTACATAAGCACGAAAAAACCGCTACTGTGTAGACAAAAGGAGTTCGTTTTCACCTTAGGATTCCATTGGTAGCATTCTAATAGGCAAGCGGCACTGATTGGTCAACCTTTACAGCCATGTGCTCGTGTTTGCGATTGGCCTATTTCGATCCACAACTGGGTATATATATTTCTTAGCGTAGAGTTTTCGATCTATGTTCTGACGTTTTAAACTCTGAAGAGTGTCAGACGAAAAGCTTTAGTTTACTAAATGTTTGCTTTTTTCAAAGCCATTTACAAGTTTTGTACCACCAAAAGATTGTTAGAAAATAGTTTGTTATATAAGGAGTTCGTTAAACCGGGAGAAAACGTTGCCTTTTCGCAGTTCACGCCTAAAAGATCTGCGGTGGGCTTGTTTAGGCTATCTCCAACTTCTGTGCACATTGTACTCTAAAAAACCAAGCTGAATTCAAATATTGCTAAAGGCAAGTCATTGTAAATGCTCTTTATGCTTCTCTTACAATTAGGTACCCAGACATTGGCAAAGCTGATATCGCTTCACTTCTAGTACATCTGGGTCTCTCAATAAAATTTTGTAATCGCTCATTGACAATGTTTCATATGTGAAGAGGTATTTGGAAGTGTCAATTTACTCATTTGCATTACTTTTTGACACGATCAAACTTTCATCCCGTGCTCTGAGCCTATAAGCCAAGGCTTGAAAAAGTATCATCAGCATGCTTTGCCCATGAAAATAATGATTTCCCCCAAGATAAAGTGATAAATGAACATCAAAATTGAATAAATAGAAATAACAGACGAAAAAATTATGAAAAGTTCTTTATATCGAGAGCAATTATGATTAAGGGACCTAAAAATTGGTTCGTAATATGGAGAGTTAGTTATATCGAGAGCAATTATGATTAAGGGACCCAAAATTTGGTTCGTGTTATCGAGAGTTCGTTTTATCGAGAGCAATTTTGATGAAGGGACCCAAAATTTGGTTCATAATATCGAGAGTTCGTTATATCGAGAGCAATTATGATGAAGGAACCCAAAATTTGGTTCGTAATATCGAGAGTTCGTTATATCGAGAGCAATTATGATGAAGGGACCCAAAATTTGGTTCGTAATATCGAGAGTTCGTTATATCGAGAGCAATTATGATAAAGGGACCCAAAATTTGGTTCGTTATATCCAGGGTTCGTTAAACCGAGGAATTCGTAAGGAGTTTGTTAGGCAGAATCCAAGGGACGAGACTTTCAGTTCGTTATGCCGGGAAGTTCGTTATATCCAGGATTCTTTAAATCGGGATTCCATTGTATTCCTACATCCAGCAAGCGCAAGAACTATTATCCAAAGCGCTCAACTGGTCTTTCAATAAAAATTGTGAATTCGAAGATTGGAAATCTCTGACTCTCACCCTAACATAATATGGTTCTTCGAAATGCGTGAAAGACTCATACTAGCAAACTTCTTCACATTATCCCGAAGTGTCATGGGCGTAGGTGGGAAATTTCAAATCGGGGTCTGCATCTACAGCGAAGGGGCACAAAGGGGTGCAAGATGCTCTAAGCCCCTGAAGCTCTAATTCACTCTTAGACTCTACATGAATATGAGTGCCTTCGAATTTCAATAACTTTTAAGGCAAGACAATCTACCAGATATGCCCTATAAAAGGGGCAAATTAGGTCAACAGGGGACGGTGGCACCGAACAACCTCCATATCAACATCCCCTTTATTTTCAGCTTCTGGGTTGATGCTTTTTAAGTAGACGAGAAAGAATTTGATTGAAAATTACACACACGTTTCAAAACGTTTTAAAAAGTTTAACTTCTTTTTGTGAAATATACTAAAAATCTAAAAGAAAAAGGTGAAAGTAAAACCAGTTTATTTAACACCGGACGATTCTTCTCTCTGTTATCGTATGAAGGGATGTAACATATCGGTAACTGCAAAAGCATAGAAAAACTGGTTTTCAAATAAAAAAACAGAGATATTACTCAAAAACATCCATACTCTTTGATTGTCTCTTCAGAGTTGAGCAATAGTTCATTTACCCTTCAAACCACTGCTTCGGCGGCGGCTACGTCTGAAAAAGCGACGGCGGTACGAACTTGTCGACCACCATCTCTTCATTTCTTTCTTTTTCTTCTCCATTTTTACAGATCTTGGGGTTCGTTCGCCCTTCTTTTTCTGTTCACCTTCTGCTGCATCTTGTTCTGCTTCGGTTATGTATTTCTCATCTTTTCCTTTTTCTTCTTGTTCCTCTTCCTGGCTCTTTGTTCCCTCTAGATTCCTGTTAACTTTTGGGGGCACATCCACATACATTACAGGACGTGGGTATCCATCGTCAAGAGATAATTCTTCTAAGTCCTCGCTTGAGTTCGCATTTGCAAATAGAAAAGCGAAAACTGAAAGCATCCAGATTTAAGGCAAAAGTCCCAACATAATGCCAACAGCTCTTTTCCACAACAATCTATATTCTGTTGTGTGCGAGTTTTCAAAGTCAGCAGCTCTTTTTAAGTAAACGACAAGGCTCTCACAGCTGGAGACAAACTAGCCAATGAACTAACCCACTCGCATTACTGATTGGCAATATTCGGGTGACGTTTTTACCAGAAGCCACATTTTTTATTCAGAAATAGAGTGGTAATATTGATGACGTTGTAAAGGTTAGTT